CAATCTCTCTTAGTAAGTCACGGCGCGTTGTATCTGACGCTGGTGTTGAACAAAGATGGCGTCGGCGGCTTTCCGGATGACCTCTAAATCAGCTCGTGTTGAAGTCGCCCGTTGATTTGTGGACGCCACGTTCGCCTGCGTCGTTCTATTGGTTCCATGCCTGCGCCCACTCTTGATACCGGAAACTGACATTAATCCTAAAGGCTTCCGGCAACTAATCTGACAAACATGGTTGAAATTAGTTGAGATACTTCGCACGCAAATACTGCATCGCTAGAAATCGGCCCATTACATTTTCATAAAAGCAGACTTTCCAACTCATTGGTGAACGCTGCCGACATTAGTTGCCGGCGTTGTCTGAATTCACTACGTTAGCTTTCGGTATAATTTATGTAATAAACGAACGCTTTCATATGCGTTATCGCCTCCCCGTTCCACGCAGCAGAAGGCGTTTGTCTAAATATTTAAATTAATCGGCCATAACAGGATCACAGCAAGCCCCGGATTTTTCAACTCACAATCTGACAAAAAGTTTGCAGGCTGGTCACATGAGCCAGGCTGCGGCGCCACTACTGTAGTGTATGTCATCACCAAGTCCATGCCATCGATAACATTCCGAAAAACTCAAGCTGCAATGATTACAGCATTGCCAGACGCAGGGAAATGTCAAAGGACAGACAACGCCACTGAAGACAAACGTCTTCAAACTATTTTTAGTGAATATCATTGAATAGCGGTCCCGTTTGCTTCGCCGCGCGAAGAACGCCGCCGCCATTATAGGATCCCAGCGAACCAAAAAACATTGATTCGCACGTTAATGACGCACAGCTGCTGCAATAGGATACCTTCGTCACCCACGCTGCAGGCGCTGCAGTGGGACACCTCCGTCTCCTGTGCTGCAGCCGCTGCAGTAGGGCACCCTTCGTCAACTACGCTGCAACTGCTACAGTGGGACACCCCATCTCCTCTGCCGCAGCTGCTACAGACGGATACCCTCCCGCCTCTTTTGTCGCAGCTACTACGACAGGATTCCGTCTCCTGCACTACAGCTGCTACAGCAGGTCCCCCATCTCTCGTGCTGCAGCTGCTACAGTGGGACACCCTCCGTCCCCTGGGAGTCGCCGGCCAGAATGGCCTGCTTTGTGGAGGCTGCAGCAGGCGTCGCAGCCGATAGCCGGGCGCGGCCGGGGTCGCCGGCACATCTGAAATGGCGGCGGCGGCCGGCGCCGCCGGCCGCCTGACGGACGATCCCCTGGACACCGTTCAGGCCGATGTCAGATGGGGGCACGGTCGGCCGGACCGGCCACCCGGCATGCCGGACCGGCCACCCGGCGTGCCGGCCCGCCTCACCGGCCCGCCTCACCGGCCCGCCCACTTCTATCACACTGGCTGGGAGCTCCGCTAAAACCCAACTGCGACATGCAGCTTCTTGAGCTTTGCGAGCTTTTTGTTTTCTGCTTAGTGCTTGCATTTTAATGCTGTACTTTATATGGGAGATCTTGGAATAAGCGTTGCGAATCGTCTCTGGATGACAGTGCGCCGATGTCGAAACTATGTGGCAGAGGCATCTATCAGTCAACTGGGATGATCTCTAAAATCAGTCGACGTGCTAACCAAATGCTTCACACCGACCTTGCCCACATTTGCCGTGCAACTTTTAGACTAATCTAAACAAGAACTCCTGAAACACACAATGAGAGACAGGTTGCCTTTTTTGCACTTAGCCTGACTGAAGTGTCCGTAAACTTTTCCCCAAAGATTGCGATCCTGAGCCCGCAATCCCGCGAGACAGACCGGGCGCCCTCAGCGACGCTCAGCGACGCCGTGGCCGGGCGCATTCGGTAGGTCTGAGCTTCTGTTTTGTCCACAATACTTATTGTTGACTCTGTGCCGGGCAAACAAAGACACTCAGTATCGTAAATCTCAGGAGCCATAAAGTGGCGTGGTGTTGCATAATTATGTTCGAGTCGGCCGTCTGTTCTCGTTAGTGCCACTTGCTGCTCGAAAGGCGTCGAGGGAGTCCGACTGCGGATTTGGTCTAGGCCTGGAAGGACTCCTCATTTCGTGAATAACTAGAAACGCCAAACATCCTATTTTCAAATCGGCACTGAGAGACATGGCGGCGAAACTGTCTCTAATGAAGCCAATCATTCATCATGGCTCACAGTTGTGTGTCAAATTACGTTAGCCAGCACAATGCGGCGCTCATTTGCCGCGTTTCATGTTACGAATGTAGCACCATATGGTCTTTGGTCGGGGCACAATGCGCTGAATGAATTGCAATAAGCCCGAAAACGAAAACGCTCACTCATTTCGCAATAACTCGTTTATTTGTGTCCGTTCTGATCATGTGTCATGTTCTGTATCATGTCAGGAGGTGACTCTTCGCTTAGTGTTTAACGTATATATCGTTGTGCTACACGCGCTGTTATGTACGAACGCTAAAACTGAATCTGTATCGTTAATGTGTGAAGATGGAGAAATCAGTAAAGCAGCCTTGAGCATGCGTTAGATAGATGCATCCACGCATACTTACGTTATTGGGGCACATGAGTTCTTGAGTACTGCATATCACTCACATACATATTTCGAGAAAATTACGCGCGCGATATTGATAAGTCGTATCAGCCAAGTCCCTGAAGGGAGCTGCGGTCGATACAAGGCCAGCTGCGTGGCACATGGGGCGCTCGACAAGCGGAGGCAGAATCGCTCAACCGACACTCCATGGGCAGTCCCATGATGTCTGTCGCGAGGCCTTCCTGGAAATGCAGCGGCTCACGCAGTTCCTAAAACAAAAGAAACTTGGCAAGGGAAGTCGTGATCATTTGGTGGAAATTTAACGAACGCTAATAATTTGCATGACGATGGCTTCAATGAAGCGTTGTTTGACCCATTGCCTCAAGACGACAAATTTCTGATGTTCTGAGCGGGTGCAGCATCAGTGATCTGCTAATGTGGAAGAGCGTAACGGAAAACTTCCAACGGCTTTTTTAATATCTGTCATGACCACGCCAGCTGTTTTCAAAGACCCCTCAA